TGTATGTATGTGTAAATAAATATATTTATATGTATGCATGTATGTACTTTTGTGTTTATATATTCATTATGTGTGTCTGTGCGTACATATGTGTGTATGCATGTGTGGTATATGTAAGAAACATTTTTTCCTCAAGAAACATAGAATAAAATTGATATTTTTGTTTCGTGGAACTAACATTGCTCAGTTCTGCAGAGAAAATAATAATTCATACGTAAAAGAATTCCAGTGATATACTGAATCCATCCCCAAGCTCAAACTTCGATATCTGAGATAGGTGCTGGAAACGACACGGCTGCATGTTTTAATTACGTTGACCATTACATACTGCGGAAGTACTTTCTAAAGTGGTTGTAAAAGCCTCCCTCCCTTCCCGACCAATAAAGAAGACCTTGATCATGGTCATTTGTAGGGACACAGGCTTTATAAACCCTCAGTGCTGAGATCTAGTCGACAGTTTCTTTTATTCACCGGAAACATGAACTTTGTTGTAAGTCCTATGGAAAAAGAGAAAAAAAAAACATAAGTAAATAAATAATAATAATAATCATAATCATAATAATAAAATTGTCTTAGCAACCCGGAATTATAAATTTCCTGCTTTGAAGATATTCAGCAATGTCTATACTTGAGTTAATATATTCCCTTCATTTGCAGATTATCTTCGCTTGCGTGGCAGCCGTGGCCATCGCCGCCCCTCAGTACAGTTACGTCACACCTGACTCCAGCGAAGAAGTCGAATTTGTGCCGATCCTGAGGGACGATCGCGTCCACGAGGAAGATGGAACTTACAAGTTTGACTTTGAAGCTGGAAATGGCATCCGTTTCTCCCAGTCTGGATCCCCTGATGGAGATGAGGATGCTGTGATCAAAACAGGAGAATATTCGTAAGTACATCCTGTATTCTACATACTTTTATTTCTCCTTAACATTACTCATAAAACCCCACTGAAAAGACAAAATCGGTATATCAGGCTAACATTATGCCTATCTCATAACTATCACATACAGGTACACTGCCCCTGACGGCACCCACATCCACGTCCGCTTCGTGGCTGACGAGAATGGCTTCCAGCCTCAGTCCGACGCCCTTCCTGTGGCCCCCGAGTTCCCCCACCCAATCCCTCAGTTCGTCCTCGACCAGATCGCCTTCGCCGCCGAGGAGGACGCCGCTCACGAGTCAGATGAAGTGTCTTCTCCAGCAGGATTTAATCGCTAC